TCTGTAGTGGTTGTGATGATGAGTTTCCAAGGAGGTTCTCCCCTGCCATAGAGTTGAGAGAGTTACTGGCATCCTTAGCTGAGTTTGATGCTGAGTGGCAGACTTCATGTCTGGAGTGGGTTGTGTGAATTTCACAGAAGGATCTTTGGCATCTGCTCATGGGAATATCTGCAAAGTTTCCTTAGTGGGCATTTATACCACTGTTGAGATAGAAATATGATCATTTAAAGATAGAAGAAGTCCTACAATCTTGCTTAATTGTTTTTTTATAATGTGATTCCTTAAGGGGAAATGCATTATATATGTAAAGAATGTTTCTAAGTGTTCCAGGTATTTTGGTAGAGAATCAAGAGAATTTCATCGAGATGCTTCTATGGGTTGTCAATGGAAGGAAGAGTCATGGTTCATTACAGAGTGGGTGTTATGGAAACTGTGGTTGCAACTAGTCTGGAACTGTGACAAGGAACTCCAATAGTTTATTGGTCTCCTTGGATGATCTTCGGATAAAGGTCCAGTCCATCTTTTTTGCAATTAGGTGTATTGGAAGTCCCATTTGTAAGTGTTATTGGACTCTCCCTATTTTGTCCAGCAGCAGTTTCATCTGTAGTGTCCTTCTGGATGCATCTAGAAACAGATGGATCTACACCCCATCGAATGTTAGTCCAGTTGTTGCATCGTTGTTGGAGTTTAGCTTTGATGTTGGGTGGCATTTTGAGTTGCAGAATATGGAGAGCCTTTGGGCTATGAATGAAGGAAGCTCTCCTCAGTTGTATACAGAATGGGAAGTATCCACATATCCTCCAGAGTTATGTATGTGGGTATGTCATAGAACCCACAGGTGGTTCAATATAATGTCCTAGTAGTATAGGGTTAAAGGGTCTTCCCTGTGTGTTGGGTTCTGGTGTCCTCAGCACAGTCTTGTTTATTGGGGTCTGGTGCCCTCAGCCTAATCCTCTCTATTGGGGTCTGGTATCAGTGGAAATAGGGCCCCCTTTTTGCAGTGAAAATAGGGATTTCAGTCTCCTCATACCCACAATATCGCTAACATCCGGACTTATGATCTATAGGAGGAAATCTCAGTAAGGACCAGGGAACCAAAAGACAAGCATGGCACTTGTAGTCTACATAACTGGTAACAGCAGTACATACATGAAGATAGCATTGTAATTTGACATTTTTATCTGGATAAGATTATTTTGCCATTAGTGGCTAAGGGGAGATCTAATCTAAGAGACACTAATGATTTTTTACAAAAGCTGTATTATCCTAATATTACATGCTAATGACATGGGATGTAGAAAGTTTATATACATCGATAAAACATATGATAGAGATGTGTACCACAGAGAAACTGTTGCATTCATGTGTTCTATATAATGAGGCACAGATACAGTTTTTAATTACTTTACTTAGGATTATTCTTGAAAATAATTTATTCCAATTTGAAGATGAGTTCTTGCTGCAATCAAGAGGTGCAGCGATGGGATCACATATCTCCTCCATATTCAAATGCATACATAGATATACATAGCTGTCATCTGCTGGTAGTATTTAAATCAGTGCTCCAAAGCTAAATTATACCTGTGAGCCTCATAGTGAGTGAGGAAGCTGTGAGACTATGCAATTACTGGAGATGCAAAGCAGACTTCCTGACAGGGGTTATCTGTTACAGCAATTAACCCTCCAGAGAAAAAAAAAAAATAGAAGGAAGAACTAAAGGGGTTGGACAAAATTATGGAATCACCAGGTAAAAAAAGAAATTGTTACCTATTATGGTGTTGGACCGCCTTTGGCATCCAATACGGCCTGAATTCTCCTGGGAATTGACACATTTAAGTCTTGGATGGTGGATAATGGAATCTGATACCACTCTTGCAAAAATCTCTCCAGTTCTTTCAGTAATGTCAGAGGCAGTGTTACATCACTTCCGATTTCAACACGAAACATGCCATCACTTTCCCACCTGCAAATCATGTACTGTTTTCATATTTTTTTCAACCCATTTACTGAGATGAGAGTGAGCTGGTCATGCAGACAGAATAAAGATTCCCTTTGTCTCAAAATTCCAAGCACATTCAGACAGCTTTATTTAATAATTAAAAGACTAGAGAATACTTAAGAAAGCTTTTACTAATATTGAGAAATTTCAGTCCCCCCACCCCCTTCACCATCTTACAAGAGGGGACGAGCTATTAGAGATATAGTCATTAAGTCAGAATTTCTCAGTGAAAACTGGTTGCAGCACCAACATTTTAGGTCCTCCAAAAATGGTTTATTGTGTGCTTACGTGGTGTACATCCTAAAGTGTCAACGCAATTTATATTTAGAGGGGAGTCAATTCAGGGAATTGAGTTTCCCACATTCCCCACATTCTGAGTTGCCAGTTGTGAAACATTTCAAACAATATGGTCATACTGTAGCCCAGGTGATATTTATGTCTGAATTGAGGTGGTAGGGAAATAGGGAGTTAAAATTAAACCAAAGGGGAGTGAAATGAATATCTCAAATGGACGCTATTTCACTCCAGGGACTAAATAGGGACTTTGATTTGCATCTGTTTCTATAACGTTTCTCTTTTGTTAAGTGTTTTGTTTCTTCTTTCTTTTTTATAGGTGGCTTTTTGAAGAGGCCAGAAACACAGTTATATAATGTGTTTCTTAGCTGAATTGTCAGGTTATTCTATGTCTTTGGTAAAATGATTCAGGTGTTGTTAATTTCTGGTCTAAGAGAGGTTTGCTATATAATGAATATGATTGATGTTTGTCTTTATTTTTGTCACGTCATTCTTGTCTGTTCTAACGATTCTGTTCTAACGATCTAAGGATTCTAACGGGTCCAAAACTGTAATTTTGATGAGTTTGTAACTCTTAATAAATATGGAAGATACTGAAGATCTGACTTTCATTGTTTCTAAATGAAAACAGCAGCAGGCAGGATCCTTTCTCTGAGAGGATCCAGCTATTGTTATAATTCACAGTCATAGAGATTTCCCTCTTCCAGAAATTTACCAAAGAGTAGAACCAGCCAGATGGTCTCAGAGCACTACAAAATCAAGAATTAATGGAAGGAAACAAGGGAGCTGAACCCTCTCCAAAATTACCCCACTATTTCTCAGTCTTCGCAGTCTTCACTCTTAAGCCTACTACGCGTGATCAGAAATCATACTAAAAATACTGCTTTCGAGGTAATCATACGATAATCTGATCGTTAGTACACAGCTTTCGTCTGAAATTATTTGAAGGAACAAGCATGAAAATTTTTCTTGTATGATACCAGAAAGTTCGAACTCTACGACCAGTACAGTTTTCATCCAAAAATACAATATGAATACATTAATATCATTTCTGACGTATTGTAATTTATGTAACTTTAGTAACCTCTTTACTTTCGATAAGAGACTAGCATGCGAAAAAAAAAAGGGACAATCATTTGTCCATAATTCTAGCCATGTGTACAGGGCTTTAAAGAAATGCTTTTATCTTTGACTGCCCTATAGCAGAACTACTGCTACATGGTGGCAGGGCTGCGCAAAATCATGTATATATACGTGATTTTGCACTTCAGAGTAGGGGGAGCACACACGCGCGCCACCCTACCTACACCGCCATTGGCTGGGTCCCAGCCGGAGATTTTCTGCCGGCACCCAACGATCACCAAGGAACACTGACAGGGGAGAGGTCTGAATGTAAACAATACAGATCTCTACCCTGTCAACACCAGTAACACACACAGCACAATTAGTAAAAGAGCACACAGTTAACCCTTTGATCGCCCCAGATGTTAACCTCTCCCTCCCTATTGTCATTACTGTAGTACAGTGTCAGTGCTTTTTATTAGCACTGATCACTGTATTAGTGCCACTGGTGATGTCAGTGGCAGTTGGTCAGTTCCCCCCCAGTGTTAGAATGCCCGCCGCAGTCCCACAGTCCCGCTATATTTCGCTGATCGCCTCCATTACTAATATACATTTTTTTTTTTAAATTCCAGTATATATACTGCCATTTATAAATGCTATAGTGTTCACGTAAACCAATTAATTTACATATTTTGGATTTATTTTTAGCAAAGACATGTAGAAAATAGATTTTGGCCTAAATTTATGATGAAGTTTGATTTTTAAAATTTTTTTACTGGATATGTTTTATAGCAAAAAGTCAAAAATATATATATATTTTTTTTCAAAAGTGTTGGTCTTTTTTTGTTTATAGTGCAAAAAATAAAAAGCCACAGAGTTGATCATATACCACCAAAAGAAAGCTCCATTTGTGGGGAAAAAAGGACACACATTTCAAACTGCTTGCTCTGGGGGCACTTTGCATGGGTGAGGGCCCAGGAGCACTGGCGGAGGACCCAAGAAGAGGAGGATCAAGGCTGTTCTGTGCAAAACCTCTGCACAGAGCAGATAAGTATAACATGTTTGTTATTTTTTTTTAACTTGCCTTTAACCACTAGCCTACAGGGCACTTATACCCCCTTCCTGCCCAGGCCAATTTCCAGCTTTCAGCGCTGTCGCACTTTGAATGACAATTGCGCGCTCATGCAACACTGTACCCATATGACATTTTTATCATTTTTTGTGACAGAGCTTTATTTTGGTGGTATTTACTCACCTCTGGGTTTTTTATTTTTTTTAAACAAACCAAAAACCGCTGAAATTTTTTTTAAAAAAATGTTTTTTCTTAATTTTTGTTATACAATTTTGTAAATAAGTGATTTTTCTCATTCACTGATGTGCGCTAATGAGGCTGCACTGATGGGCACTGATAGGCTGCACTGATGAACACTGATAGTTGGCACTGATGGGCACTGATGAGGAGGCACTGGTAGGTGGCACTGATGGGCATTGACAGGCATCACTGATGGGCACTGAAAGGCAGCACTCATATATGGCACTGATAGGCGGCACTGATAGGTGGCACTGATAGGCGGCACTGCCTGGCACTGATAGGCGGCACTGACTGGCACTGTTAGGTGGCACTGACTGGCTATGTTAGGCGGCACTGATTGGCAGCACTGACAGGCACTGATAGGCGGCATTGATGCACACTGTTAGGGGGCACTGACCGGCACTGATATGTGGCACTGATTGGCAGCACTGATAGGTGGCACTGACTGGCACTGATGGGTGACACTGAAAGGCAGCTCAGATGGGCACTGATATGTGGCATTGATGTGGCACTGATGTGCACTGGCAGGTGGCATGGATGAGCACTGAGAGCTGGCACTGATGGACACTGACAGGTGGCGCTGCTGGGGCTACACAGATCATCAGGGCACACTTATCATCAGTGGCCTGGTGTTCAGTGTAGATGTCCCCTCCGAGGAATGCTGATTACTGGCTCTCCTCTCCTCACGAGCTGTCAGTGTGACAGCTTGTGGGGAGAGAAATGCCGATAACCAGGATTTCTCTGTTTACATGTGATCAGCTGTGATTGGACACAGCTGATCACATGACCGAACTGACATCTTCAGCTCTTTCCGTGGATCGGTGATCCGCTGTTTCCGAGGGACACAGCGCACCGCCGATCGCCGCACTGCACGCTCCAGGAGCCGCGCATGCACGGTTAGAATGGGAGGACGTCATATGACGTTCTCCAAGAACGAGAGAACCACCTTGCATCCATCATATTACTATATGGCAGACGGGAGGCGGTTAATATTTTAAAGATGTCATTTTAAAGATGTTGTACACCTTTGAATATATTCCCTTTTGTTCATGTATTCAAGAGTGCCCCTTTTCAGCAAAGGGATAAGACAACTTCCTGTTTTGGGTCACATGACATCTAATACATGCATTGCCATCCTCCCTGTGTTGCATCACAAATATAGGAGTGCTAATGTAATTAAAAAAAAAATCTTCCAACTGCATGGCAAGCTTTTTTGTGTGTCTCTGAATGATCTGCCTGTTTGTCACTGTATCTGATCTACTTACTGTCAAGCTCTCAGCTGGGCCAGTGCTAGGCTGAAAGACCAAGGGATTGTGGGATATATTGGTTCTACACAGGAAGTGTATGTTCTTAGATTACAGATGGAGATCATGCATACAGATCATACAACCTGTGCAGTGCTATGTATCATGCCTCATGTTTGAACACAAATATAAACTACTGACACTGTAATGTGAAGATTTACTTTACTATAGGCTGTCCATACAGGCCAACAAATGACATATGATCAATATACAGTACTTCTTATGTAGGTGAAAAACACAATGTGCAAGTAAGAAGGTTAACAATGCTAATGTCAAGAGCCTTCTCACTTCTGAAAACTAACAAAACCTCTCAAATAAAAACTCCTGAAAATCATTCTGCTCGTTTGTGAACGCAGCCTTACAAATTACATTTCTTACAAGATTTTTTAAGTTAAAAGGATCTGACCTGGATTGTTGTTACTTTGTGGGGATTTTATTGCTATGCCCCAGGATTCGACGGATACTGCCACTCCCTATGCAAAATATAGAATATCACTTCAAACGTTTTTGAAAGATTCCAGACAAGTAGGAGCAGGCTAGGGACACACCATCCTTCCTGGAATCCTCTCATTGGGGCACAGACCAGCCAGGCCACATTCCACCCTCTTGGGACAGATGCTGTCAGCAAATCTGAGACCTGCTCCATTCCACATTGCTATTGAAAACTGTGAGTGTATCCAGGTGGGAGCCTTCACATTGGGCTGTTGTATTGCTGAACTTTGTCTTCAATACAAATTCTATCTACTTTTCATAGTTACTGCTGCACCCACACACCCATAATACAGACTTTGCAAAAAAATTTTATTTACTGTGATGCTTACCTATGAAGGAACAGCATGTCTACCCTTGATAACCCACCAAATAATAAAGATATTTCCTGCCAATAATTGATATACTTCTTTCCTAATGATAACACAAATCTAGACAGAGACTGGGTAACCCAAATCAAATCCTTAGATACTATACAGATATCTCAAAACACCAATTATAATGATTAGAAAAGTATAAAACATCCCTGAAATACAGTATTTGAAAACAAATAATTTCTATTTCTACATTTCTTCAAATCTTGCACTTGCTTCAAGTCACTACTTTCACAGTTATCTAATTTGAATCTTTCTGTCACAGTTTTGATGGTAGCAAAGATAATCAATAGTACAGGTATTTCTTTTAATAAATCTCCATGGAACCTTTCCATTGTGGAAGAATGCTAAAAATGCCTTCTTCATATCTAACTCATTTGTTTAATACATCTGAGTTCTCTAGTTCTTTCCCTCCAGAAATGTAATGCCCATTACTGTAAAATTTCCTAAACCAGGTAAACAAATTACTCTTCCCCAGGACTTCAGGCCAATGTCTTTACCGAATACCTACCTGAAAATATACATTAGGGCCATAAATATCATACCAACATTTAATAAACCTGATCAAAAAAGGGTTTTGTTAAAGGAAGACAAGCACCTTATGGTACTCACAGAATGTTAAACCTAATCTGATTTCTCAAAACTGGTCATTGTCAATCCCTGTTGTCATTAAATGTTGATGCATTCCATAGGTTACACTAGGGTTATAAAAGTTCAGTTCTTCAGGAATTTGGCTTTCTCTAAACAATCTCTTTGACTATTTCAGCTTTATATAACAAACCCTTCCGGTTACATCTATATATCTAGAATGGTGCACCATCCATTTTTAAAGCCAAGCCATGTCTGTCCTTTGCTACAACTTATATTCAGGGCTTTTTTTTTTTAGTGGGAGTGGGGGGAATGTTTTTAAGGCATCTCCAGCACTGAATGTATGCAATGGCAAGGGGTGCTGGGGTGTACTGCTGGGTCCACTGATGCTGGCTGCTGGGAGATCTTTTGTAGCTGAGGGGGGTCTTGTTGGGGGGGGGGGGGGGCTATTGTTACTGATGGGGGAGATATATTGCTGGCAGTGGGTCCTATGTTGCTAGGGGATCAAATTGTTGCTGGGAAGGATCTACTGTTAAGAAAGGAGTCTATTGTCACTGGCTGCTGGAGGGCCTATTGATGCTAGCTGTAGGGATATCTGTTGTTGCTGCCTGGAGTCTGTTGTTGCTAGGAGATATTTTGTTGGGGGTGGTCCATTGTTGTTGGGGGAGGTCTATTGTTGCTGGCTGCAGGGGATCTATTTTACTGCTTTTTTTGTCATCATTAACAAACTCCATGCAAATTGATACTTGCTTCTGTATTATCTAAAATGGTGGTACTGGCAGCTGGGTAGAGGGTGGAACAAAGGAATGTTGCTCGTAGATTGTAGGGGGCTGAGACAAGGGGTGACTCGGAAAAGGGGAGTTTCTGCACCTATTCTCTGAGGAAAAAAAGCCCGGCTTATATGTATACTTATGGTAGAGCCATTGTGAAAAAAGGTAAGGTTCGATCAGCAAATAAAGGGTGTCTCTACTGACAATTACACTAACTAGTGGTTACTTTTGGTCAACGATATAAATCAGCATCCTCTGCCTCCTTGTTTACATTTGGTTGCTGATTTCTGGGGGCCTAGCAACCACTATCCTGCTGTGACAGCATTAAAGCTTTGCTGTTGTTCAGGTTGAGTTGGTAAGGTTAGATGGAGATGATCTTCTTTCTTTTTTTTTTTTTACATCATGGGACATTATTTTTGGACATCATGGGACATTATTTTTGGACATCATGGGACATTATTTTTGGGCATGGTGGGACATTGTGAATAATAATATAATAGTTATTTTTTACAGTGTATTTATTTAATATTTTACTCTTAAAATTCTCTTACTCTTTAAATTAGTAACCAGGGAAACTAGGAAACCCTTCTCATTAACATGGGGGACAATATATGGGGGCCAGCTTTTTAAGAGGGCTTCAAGATTCTGATAATTGTCCTCAGAGACGCCCACATTCACAGGGCTAGGGATGTGGTGATAAGGCCCTGATCCTCATCAACATGAGGACAAGGTCCTTTGCCAGGGTCTCTCCTGACAAGGCATTCTCCCCATGTTGAGGACATGTGGGTTGATATGGCTTGGGGTGACCCCCTTTCCTGGCCATCCAGGCTACATGCTAAGATAAGCGTGTAGTGTAGATGTGGGGGATGGGGAACTTTTTTTGCATGGGATTCACTCTAAAACTCATACCAGACCCCTATCTAAGCATGCATCCTGGCTGGCAGGAAAAGGGATGGCAGTGCATGTGCAGCCCTCCTTCTGAACCATACTAGGTCACATGCCTTCAACATTAGGAGGATACACTCCAGGGGAGACCCCCCCTGAAAATAAAGCCACAGGCACATAGATATCTTTGTGAACAAGTCAAAAGTGGTGATACTCATCAAGGAAGTTCAGTTTTGTGTGGAGATTATGTGTATACAGCATATTTTCTGATTGTTTAAAAAATACCGTAAGAAGAGCTTACATTTGAGTGCAGTTTTCACCTTTTCAATTTCTGGATGGTGAGAGGAGACAGGAGACAAAATTGGTAAACAACATCTGCCTACCTTTCCTTCTCAAGCAAGGGATCCTCTGATGGCTTGATTTCTGCCACGATCATTTACCCCTCTTCTCTCCACACCGGATACTCTTACTGAGCCTTCGGAAGCACTCATAGACTTAGCAAAGGGTGTCATTGTCACTTTCCCTCCTCAAACTTAAACCTATACTTAGGGGGTACGGGAAACAATTAGTGATGCAGAATTACAATCATACTTAGTGGGCCTATTTACCACCTTGGCCCCGTCTTTTCTGGATTTAGATTAGTGCATGGACAGCACACACTGATCTCTGTTCCTAAACCCCCCTGCTGGTGCTTGTCCAAATTACCTTATTGTTCATTTTTAGTAATATAACAGTAAGAAAGCTCTGCTTGTGACCACATGTAACAGATCTACAATCGATTATAAGGGTAAGAAAATCCATATCTTTAGTGATCTTTTGCTAATTACCCTTGCTAAATGTATTTGGTTGATTACCTCACACCTTCAAGCACATCCAGTGAAATACCCCTAGGGCTTTTTCTTTTAGACTGATTGTCACTAAACATGGCTCACAACACAGTTTGCAAGAACTTCAGGAGGGAGACATTTAGCTTAAGTCACCGGGACTGCCACCCTTTCCTGAAGAAGTGTTAACTATTCCTTTTCCTAGATAGACCACCCACAACACCCTATAGGATATGACCCCAGCTAAACAAAAAAAACAATATAGGAAGCAGAAAACGGAAACTGCCTTAGAGTTGTTGCCTCCACACACCCTGATTTATACAACTGGCTGGCCCATGGTATCCTGAGATGTTTGATCTTCTCAGGCATTCTAACTTTGTTCTATACTCACTTTGGGCTCCCTCTGACCATTTATTATAGTCATAGTTCTATGTTCTTAGAATACAAAGCCTTGTTTGTATGGTTTTCTTCTTATTCCACTTTTACATCAGAACAATGCTTTCAATATACTTTGCTTACATAGACACAATGTAGTTTTGTACTGCAATGTCTTTAAAACTAATGCCTTGTGAAGGGATTAAATTCTGTCAGAAAGCAATGGATAACTCTAAGAGAATCCAAAGCTTCTAAAGCTGA